CGAATTAATGCTCGAGTGCATTTGATCGTTATCTTGTATAAAAATATAACTGTATGCAAGCCACAATTTGTCGGCACTGGATGTTAGATTTGTCGTAAAATTGACAATATATTAGTTATGATCTTTAGTTTCATCTAATAACTCTGAAGATTCTGCCTGAGTTGCACTCAAGCAGGCACAAACAATGTCATTGGAATCACCGTGCTTGACTGAAGAACATATATTTTCCCTATAGTTCTTTCCCCTTTTATATTCTTACATCCTATTAGTGATATTACAAAAAAGCGCACGTTCCATCCTCAGTGAAAAAACCAATCCCAGAATTGTACAGAAAATGTAATCATTATTAACTGGTTCTACAATTTATTATCCTACTTACTTGATGAATTAATGCTTTTTGCCTGGAATTTATACAATCTTATTAATGAAAACACAAACTTGAATAATGGATGGTATGTTATTATGTTTTAAATGAGTTTTTATTTCACTGATCTTTAACAGTAACTTTTACAGAAGGCTAATTTTAACAGAACGTCTTATGGAATTATTTTACAACTTTCTGAAATGTAATGTTCTCTCCTAATTATTAATTTGAACAACCATCCATATTTTTCAGCAAATTACTCTCTCGTAACTTGTCGATAATTACCTGAATGATGGATATTTATCTTCCAACCATTTTACATATTTGAGATAGTGTTATGAGCTCAATGATAAACCTTCTCTGTTCATCAGTGGTTTCCTTCATTTTACGACCAAATTTATTGATTGTCACATAGTCATAATCGATGAATGAAATATATTTCTAAACTGCTCACACAATAACACGACTTCTAGATTATGTTACTTGTTGCTGATGTTAGAAACAAAGGCAATTACTTTAAGAAATCGTTACAAGAAGACACTTTTACGAAAACTTAATACGCATCTAGACGAAGTACTGTTGACTTCCTGCGACCACACTTTGCACATTTTCCTTGTCTGGAATATTATAGAGAAGAACAGTCCTGTCTTCTTATTTGTTAAGCTTTAAATTTGTATTGTAGATTATATCCCCATAAGGTATATAATTTAAATATTGAAGAGTCAGAATACTTTTTTCTATTAATGTTCTAGTTTGCGAGGCTCCAGCCTTCGGCCTTCGCAGTGGACATAAAAACAACCTTGAGCCTGTAAGACTCATAATTTCCAACGAATGTTTCGGCCAAATATTTTGTTCTGCGACCACATGACGCTCTGTTTTGTGTCCCTGGTCTCGCAACGTATGAAAATAAATTTGTTCAGGGAGTGGCAGGGATATGACCCACAATATCGCCCAGCAAAATTAATTTGCTTTCGATGCTGCTTATTCGAAAACTACAATTAAAATTTTTATTCGAACTAGTGAATTTGGATTCTCTAACCTGGATTCTGATGATTGTACGTCCAGTGAGGGTAGACCACCTTGATGAAACTTGTCTATGGTTGTCACTTCACGTACAAAGACACAACTTTTAGAAATCACTGTAATCTTCATTCACAAATTCGTTATTAACTTTGTGTACACAACTTACACCGTATATATTATACGCTAAGCACAAAATCAGTTTCAGTACTCGTGTGCGTGTGAAGAACTGTTCGCGAAAGTTATACTAATATTTTGTGCACTTCACTTCCCAGTTTCATCCGAACATCACCGAAACAGCAGTCATACTGAATAGTAAACGCCCATGGCACAGAGAGCGCTCAAGTCGCAGTCGTAGTGTCTCATAGATGCCTAATGCATAATGCTTTAACTTCAGTATGCTCTCTATTTCAGTTCAAGACAGTTATGTCACACACTGTATCACAAAGGGAGTCCATTCATAATGTAATTTTGATTTTTTAGACATGAGATTGAAAAAAATGTAGCTAACTATCATTGATGACTTCAGAATATTATTGTTCCAAACCGAATACATATTCAGATACGTCACACTCTTCCAGTATACGTATGCAACACATTTTTGTATTCTTTTAAATAATATAGTAGAATCGTGATACTTTTTAAGAAAAGTAATTTTAATATTTCTAAAACAAAACAATATTTGAAGCTAATTACGTTCTTATTTAATCAAGAGAAGTTCTGTAGCAACCACTCATCAATTCAATTATTTATTGAATTATTGCCTTATTTTACGTGGAGAGACAAGACGTGATTTGATAGTGTTGCTAAAATCTAAACCCATTACTTGACGTTTTTGTTACATTCGCTGCAGTATTTTAACGTCCAAGAACCTAATTCGTTGCTACAAGAGGCCTATACGGGGATAAATGCCTGTTTATCCTCGTTTAGGACATAAATAACAAAAATAAATATTTTTAATTAGATCGCTGGTAAGGTATTTACCTTCTAATAATTAAATACGGTAAATAAAATATGTTGTCTGGTATCAAAAAATATACTTAAAGCATAATATTTTTTGTAACCAGACATCTTTTATTTACCGCATTTAATAAATATGTTTATTTCGAAAAGTTTCTTATCTCTCTAGCTATGTTTAAAGCTTCTGTTCTTAGTAACGCAAGTGGGAGCGATGGCATACGCTCTTCCTCAAGGTTCCCATCCCGAGGTATGGTTGTTATGAAATTGTGATTTTGAATAGGTAGACAAAAGCAAACACCACGAATTCCTATAATCAACTACATCACCGTTCATCATTTTACGTCTAAGAACCTTCAGAGACTCAATACAGTCTTGGCTATCTGGGATGAGCCTCGTCTCGGTCAGTTGTACTGATTTCAGCCATCTTGCTGTGGCCTTCAGAGCTATACTGCTCAAATACTCAGCATTCTTTCTCCACTGTAGTTGCACAAGGCATTAGCATAATGGTGCTTTCTAAAAAAATGTTCGTATTTAATGAACATTTTGTTAAGATTCTAGTAGGCTTTGAAAAAGTAGCAAATTGAGTATTGTGATTAAGATGAATTGAGATGAAAAATATTAAGCCTGTAAATTTAAAGTCAGTGATTTTTGGTTTAAAATTTAATGATTGTATATACGGCTTTTACAACAACTCAATTTAATATGAATGAGCTAATGATATTGAAACGTGCTAAACGAAAAAAATGGCCTTACCATTTGATCACAACAGGAGAAGCGGCTGCGGATTGTGTCGCACACTGTGAGAAGTAAATTCTTGTCCGGGCTTGAAAGCTCATGGTCTGGAGCTGAAGCTTACTGTTTCTTTTGCTGGAGAATCTGCTAACGTTTTAAAGCGTGTTTTCTGGTTACACAATTATTTTCTTTCTATTAGTATTCTTTTTTTTTTATTTGCCTTAAAGGAATTGTTAGGTCGAGAAAAACAGACATCAGAATCTTTAAAAATACATTTTGCACTTTACTCATGCATTCGTGCATTAGTTTTTCATGTGTGAACGAAAGAGAGACAAAAAAGAAACTAATGGAGGAACCTGATGAGGCAGCATTGAAGCACTACCTTTAATATTTTATGTTAGATTCCTCTTGTTTTTTTATGAGGTAGGTAGTTACTGGAATTTCATGTGATTACAGGAGCAGAAATACTAATTTGTATTTGCACACTAATTGTTGCTTTTTGTAAGAATTACAAGGAGGCAAAATTATTTTGAAAACACATGTGCTCTGAGAGGATGCATTGGTTCATTTTTTCGAATTCAGAGAATTAGTGTATTTATGGAGCAGCAATTTCTTAAATGAGAGTTTCTACATTCCTTAAGAAATATAATACTCTCCTTACATTTTTCTGTTTCGCTCTGAAATTTAAAAGAAAAAAGGAAACGAGAAAAGGGAAAAAAAGTACAAGAAAAATAATTTCTTCTTACGTAGAATGTAAGACTATTTGGACCAGATTTTGGTGTCTTGAAGGGATTTCATATTCAATATTTGAATAGAATTGGTCAAATTAACTAAGTAAAGTACGTAAAATGGTGGACAAATGAAAATAAAAATAATGGAACTATTATACAGTTTGTGAAACGTATGTCGTTCGTGAAATGTATATGAGACTTCGAATACAAGTTTATTTTTAACAGATAATCACAATCAAACCATTTTCGTTTTAATATATAATACACACACTTAGAATTCACAATTGTAAATTTTTGAATAAACAAAAAAATACTTGTTGCATCAGTAAATATGTATTATTTATTAACTATAGTTCTAAGGAGTTTTAAATTAAGCAACAAATAGTTTTGGTACTTCAAGTAGATTTTTGCAAGTGACAATGAAAACTGGGGATCTAGGGATCGGGATGTGGAAATCACATGGGGTAAAGAAAATTAATGACACTTGTTATGAAATATAAGTTTATTTTATAACCTTTATTGATTCATCATGAAGTGTAATTTTGATTAGCTTTGCTGGCCACAAAAGGAGGGGAATCTCGTAGCATCGTGACTCTTAGACGGGACCATATTATTTTAGACACGCAACAAGCGCATCGCAAACATAACGTAACATTACGTATAACATGGTACAGAGGGACAGTCATGCCTGCAGATTGGGCCCAGCATAGGACATGTCGGCGTCCCATTACTTCGCCTCCACTTCTCACAACACTTGGCTTGGAACATTTCTACCAACAGGGAACGTACTCTTTCACCTAGGGTAGTAATAGTAGTAGTACAATAGCAATGAAAATACTTCGTTACAAGAGCACGTGGTCTCTAGAAATTAATACAAAGCGTTGGATGAAGATATTCACAGCAGGAGTCCATCTTGACACCACACTCCATGGATCGGCCTCGCGATACAAGCGAGGGCATACACTCCGGGGGTCGTGGGAGCAACTTAAAACGAAAACGGAAAAAAGGCGGAAACACCACTGTGGAACCATGTCGACACCTTTTTATTTTTTATATAACACGAACTTTTTTTGGTTTCAGGTTACCGAAACAATGCAGTTTAATTTACTTGATAACTTGTCATCTTACGAGAAAGAATAATAGTAATAATTTCATTGATATTTTACACTTATTCACAGTGAGGAAGTAATCTCATGGTTGCCAGTGACACTAGGCCTGGAGACGAGGTCCCAGTCTCGTGCGAGTAAGTTACCTTCCTAGAGCAGTGCACTGATAAGATTTGTCTGATAAGAGTTTAATTAATATTTCCTTACGTACTTACAGTGTGTGTGTTGTTGTGTGTGTGAGTGATACAAGAACAGTCCGGGCGCCGGGCGCCAGTTCATCATGATCATTATTAATCATCAATCATCATCGTTCGTTTGGCACTTTCAAAGGAGCGGGGGGCGGCGGCTGCGGCTGCTGCTGCTGCTGCTGCGGCGGCGGCGGCGCGGGCGGCGTGGCGCTGTGGCGGGGCGTGGGCGGCGCGGGGGCGGCGGCGGGGCGTTGCCGCCCTAGCGACCGCCTGATCACGTACCGGCGGCTACGATTGCGATGGCAGTGGCGGCGTCGGCAGCGGGCGTCGTGGCAAGCTGTGCCACTGACGAGAGCGGGCCGCGCTGCTGTGAACACACTTCATTGATTCACTATCCTCTCCAATACGAGGGGCAATGCGAGTGGTGAAAGTGACCTTTTGTTTTGCGAGTAGAAAAGGTTGCCGCACGAGGCCGATTGGCCGACTGGGGTAATTCTACGAGCAAAATAAAATCACTTTTACCACGTGTGTCATACACTATTTTTTTAGACAGCCTTACCGACTTTCATTTTAATTCAAGTATACAAATCACTTAACGCTTAGTCTCTGGGGTCGTTTTTGACGCCAGGGACAAATAATGTTTCGCAACATTCTGTAAATTATTCACTAGAACTTTTTTTAGATATCCCATTTGCGTCCAGTTTTACAAATATTATAATCTTTTCATTTTTCGAAGTTTGTTTCTTTATTGAAAATAATTTGTTTTTTATGCGACTGGAGTAAAACATGCCACATTTAAGGTCTAAATTAGAAGAAAAATTAAAAAATGTTAATTTCCATTTTGTAATATTATGTTGAGGTTCCGGAGTAATAATTTAGAGTATTTGTCTATTACGATTTGGTAGCCATATTTCAAACATTCTCATGCAGGTATGATAGACCATCTGTGTATACTAATGAAGATATATTGTTTTTTTCTGAAAATAACATTATTCTTTGTTATTTATTACAATATAGTAAATGAAGCGAATAAAGAACATCGTTTCCAACATTAATTATTCCAAATAACATTTATTTATCTTGTAAATTATTGTGTAAAATGTTATATGAGTCGTAAAAGTGACCTTTTATTTTGCGAATAAAAGAGTCCACGTGTTTGAGAAACAGAGTCGAGTTAAAATCGGTAGAAGCTGTTGCGGTCAGACGAAAGTATTTTGTTTTCTTTGATGCATTCACGGATTTATCTGATCACTTGAGAATCGTGTCACTTTTCGCACTAGTGCTAAACCTTGAACTTTTACCACACTACGCATGCCTGAACGAGCCACTTTTAGTAGTGTCTGTCTATAATTATTTGGTAACTATGCCACTCATGAAATTTAAACAAATAGATTTTAATAACTTCTTCTCTGTGAATCAAATGACAAAGTACCTCCGAGTTTTAACACTGGTAAATCATCGTTCTGTTTTATCACTTTGACGTACAGTTGTTTCTTCACAATATAATCAAGCAAATGCCACCACAAGGAACAACTGGTGGTTTCGTCAAGCATGAGCTGCATAAATTGTTAGCAGATATGTAATAGTAAGCAAACCGTTGAAAGAAACAAAGCATTGAAGAAGTGTATATAGTACATATAGAAGTATTTGAATAGTACATTACGAATGGGAATTGCAAGGAAATATGAGGATCCTTTAAATAACACCGATCGACACAATTTACTCAGGAATATACTCAGGAGACTTAGTTGCACCTCGTAAATATTGTTTGAAGAAAGTACCATTAAAATGATATTAATATCGATGGAATCATCAAAAATGCAAATGTGTTGTAAAAAGGTAGAAAATGACTTATTACTCAAAATCGTCGAAAAATGCAAAAAAACTAAAAATGAGTCATTTCATTTTGCCATAACATAAAATGAATTTCTATACTAAATAGCACTGTCCTAAAGTGTAAAAGCATTATATTTCATTAAAATCCGCCCCCTATTTATAAGTTTGCTTAATTTTAATCATTTTATAAAACAGCAGAAGAGAAAGGTAGGGAATATCTTTCGTACGCCTTCTTTGAAATGGAAGTAAAGCCGGCTGGCCCATGTTGTAGATTTTCTGCATTTGAAGATCCTCCAAATGTAGCCTCTCTCCAAAACTGAAATCGCTTATTCCGCCGCCCGAGTGATACATTTTATTTTCGCTTCTAGATGGCGTAGAAGCGTAGATAAATTCATGTTCTCAGTTAGACGGAAAGGCTTCATGACCTGAGCGTCATCTCGTAAAAATAAGGCATCAATCAAATGAATTGAAAAAGAAAGAAAGAGACAATGGAACCGTAAATAAAAAAGAAGGATTAAACGGTTTGTGAAGCGTTTTTAAGCAACCTTAATTAGTAGCCACACCCGACAAGAAAGTATGAAAGGTACGAGATTAATTTCTAGTGACACTATAAATGAAAACAAAAAAAAAAACTGGCTTATAATATGGATAACTTTTTCCCTTTCAATTTCGCACAAGAGACGTTACACTTGACCTTTCACAACGCAGCGGCTTGGCGGCGCGATGGCCATTGCGCCGCCCAATGAGAGAAATAAACAGACGCATCGCGCGCGATGTAATGAGCGCGGCCTCCGCCATCTTGTCGACGGCCCAAGAGGACGGGGAGGAAGTCAGGGCAATTTGCAAGAGCAAACACGCGCCCCGCGAACCCGTGGCCTATGCTATTTGCATTTCATTTCGAATGGAATGTATCTATTTCGAAAGTCCGAAATGAGGGGTAAAAGGGGAAAAGAACGATTTGGGCAGGCTAATAAAAACGGAGTAAGAGTACACACGGGCGCTGGGGCGGTGGGCCGCTCCAATGTTCAGACTCGGAGCCGTGCAGGCGGCTGCACTGAACGCCCCAGCCGTTGGGAGAATGGTTTCCAAAAAGCGCCTCATCCGGTTGGTTGGTTCTGATCGGGAAATTTCGTTTAGAATGGCTATGAGAAATCAGGGGAGAATAAATAAAACAGTTTGAGAATGAATTGAAGTCGACTGATCAATTTTGAAACACTCCATTTTAAGATAATCTCTATTGCATTACATGAGCAAACGAACAGAATGGCAAACAAGATGTATTTATTATATTTTATGGGGAAAATAAAAGAAGGGTAACTTGGGATCCGTATAGTAGGTCCACTCATTACTTAGTACTCATTACTCATTACATGTAATTAGTCACGCTGCTCGTCTCTTGCTTCTCTTACCACCGTAGCTTACTTCTGGGTACCAAACTTACCACACGATAAATTTTTTGGGGTAGGTATTCGCGTTTTCCAGACTCTCATTCTGCCGTTTCTTCATCATTCACTGCTATTCGGAAGCACGTTTGACGTTTGAAGTAGAAAAAGAATACGCAAAGAAATATGAAAATAATTGTTTCGTTAGATGCTTTTGTGCAATTTAATAAAGAAGTATATGTTCTGAAATTGAAAAATGTAATTTATGTGGTTGAATAGAAATGTCTATTCTTCTTAAATTAGTTATTTTTTACAGTTACTCATTCTAATTGACAACGACTTTATTAACTAAATGTATAAAGTATTTTTACACTTCAATTTATATTAGTATACTTAAGACGTGACGTCTAGAGGCGTATAAAAAGAGTGCTGACACCAAACGATATCTGTATTTCCAACTAACCGTTTTTAACCGAATTTACAACATTTATCATGCGGGGCAGAACATTGATTTCATGTTATTCAGTATATCCTTTTATACAGTACGCGTTTGCAACGCGAATTCACAAGAGAAACTAGATATCAACTCATCTCCCAGTAGCAAAACATTAGCTCTGTGACCTTCGCTCTTGGTTAAATTTACTGACTCGGAGAACATATTGTCCTATAATTTCCTTGTAGTTTACTGCGTGGACGCTATTTATGTGTTGCGGAAATTGAAAGCAAGACCATTCTTCATCGAAGTGAGTGCGAAAACATGGGGAAATTGGGGTGAGGTGCTATGAACAATAAACAACGTTTTATGAACATTGAGCGTAAAATGATCTCAACTTCTTCCAATTTATGCTGTTCTTAGTATATGAGGCAGAAGAAGGCCATACTCAGTTACTGCAGGTATAGATGGTGGAATTAAAAATAATACTAATAATATTAACAATATTATTATTATTAATAATCATATGTATTTTGTCTTTGAGATCAAAAGCACAATTTTATTTTTGACAAATTGATTTGAATAGTTGAAAATATTTGAAAGTTATAAATAAATACTAGTGTATAAAAACAATAAAAAACCGTAATCCTGAACATTTATATCATAGTTAGGAAGTTACTCCAATCTGTCGAACAATAAGAAAACAGAAAATATCGAATACTTGGCGATGTGAACCTTGCAGGTATATACATTAAACTTAGTGAATGTTAATGTTGGATAAAATGAGACATCTGAATAACGAAAACACTAGCATACTGTGTGACCGTACACGTTGTACTTATTATCAATTTTAAATGGTAACTTTGCGTTGGTTACGCTGTTAAGTGCCGCAATAATATAATGTGCTACTGTTAACGTAATCAAAATTTAGAAGTTGTATCGAATATCTTTTCTGAGAAATGAGTAAAAACGGGATTAGATACTTTATTATTCTAAACAATGAGTCTAGAGACAATATCAAGTCTCTCGTATCAGTTGTTAATTTTATTTATTTTACAAACACACACACATTTTATTAACAATGTATATAAATAAACGTAATACGAAATCGTAATACGTAATCGTATGACATTGAATGCAATTCATTCTATCTCAGAAGCCACAATTTTCTAATTAAGACTCCCATTTCCTTGCTGAAACCAATTATTAACTTCCAGGTAAACACCCTTGAACACCTTGAAGACAATAGAAGCTTGTGATAATTTAATCAACTTTATCGCACCCGGAGGCGAATTAAACTTCCATTTTATTTTTTTCAATTACAGCACTACGCGTCATGAAGCAGACGGCCGTGGCGTACCTGGGCTGCTGCCGCTGCTGCGGCTGGGGCGGGCGGGGCCTTCAGTGGCAGTGGCCCGTGAGCAGCAGGACGGCGCCAGCCAGCGCCAGCCGCGGGGCCGACCACCTCACCGACGGCCGGCAGCCTGCAACACGCGCGCCACTTGCCAGCAACCATCGCGGACGGGATTCGAACAGCGAGACCAAGTAGTTATGAACGGCATTACGACGCTGTAGAGCTCATTTGATTGGGTATAAACCTCGGATATCTCGTCGGTTTACAAACTTAGAGCTCGTCAGTCATTTGTATTGCCTCGCTCAGTTGATTGGTTGATGATTCCGGTCACATGAACTACTATAGTCCCGTTAGTGGTGTGAATGTTTTTATCAGGGAAGGAGGTGGTATTCCTATCCCGCTGAATGGTTATACCTACATATCGGGTTTCGAGGGGTTTTCTTAATCCAGGGATCTCCCCCAGAGTAGCAGCGCCCCGACCGGAAGAAGCCCCCGACCAATCTCCACACGTGTGTGGAAGCGTAGTGCATGTACAAATATATGTATGTGAGTAACCTGAGAGGGTAAGACAATAAAGAGGAAGGAATGACATCGCGCGGCCCGTTGCCCGTTTGTTAGGATACTGTTCCATCATTTACCGGGTATTGAAGGAAGAAACCTCGAAAAATTGTCTATCAGAGCAGCTGGTTGCTAGGAGTCTCCTCCAGACAGGACCTGAATTCGACATGTCAGAGTAGACAGTGGCAATGCTTGTGCTGAGCTAACCCCTGTCGGTTTGTCGTTCAGTACTTCGTGTATTACCACCATCTTATAAGACAAATAAGACAAACTAACGTACCAACGTTGAACTAACGTACCAACGTGAGAACATGGGCACATGTGGTCCATTTACGTTCGTTGTACCCTCCACAATTAGGTTCCCAGCACTTGTAGGCCACGGCGAAATATTAAATGAATAATTGCAATATACGCATAAGACACAATCTTCATTGGTATCAAGCAACTATTTATAGTACTTCTAGTTGTTGCTGCGAGTGCGAATCTTGAATTAATAATTATTAAATAAACCATGTCAGCCTGCGCAAACCACGGTGATCACAAAGCGTAAACAGTATAAGATGGAGAAATCTATGAAGGTCATGGAGTAATATATTCTGTATTCCTCCATGTATAGGTGGTATCGATAAGCACCGAAACGGCAAAATTTAATAGAATGTCCAAGCACATCGTATCTTATAGATTCTGATGTGGGGAACGTTTCTATGAGGACTCTGGCCTCAATAGTTTAATTTTTAAAGCCCTAGAACACTTTATTCATATATTTAACGATATAGCTAACCGAGTGTTGCGGGTTACATTTGGCATAAATATTTAGATACGAGTTCTTAAACAAACCTTTATATCTTTAAAGTCAAAGTGAAATTTATCACGTCTACGTAAAATTATCTTTCTTTAGAGATCTCATTCATAAAGATCGGTTATGTGTAATAACCGCAAAAGGTTCATATTCTACTGAAATAATATTTGAGACGATTATATATACTTTTTCCTGAATATGAGTACTCACATGGCGTCTTCAGCAACAACTTGTGTGTTTCATTGTTGGAAATAAACGCGGACCAATAAAGTTGGATTTTTGTGTTTCATTGGTTGCATTGTGTTGATATAACGATGCGAAATTCAAAGAAATTAATAGTAATTTATGACTAGATAGAATAAAAAACACTTTTTCTCACGAGAGAAAGTATTAGTACATGAGGTGACAAATGAATCGTTGGAAGTTTTCTCTCAAACGAATGAAATCTATTAACTATTTATTACGTCATGTATTTAAAATTGGAAAAAAATTGGGAAAAGTGATTTATACAATATAAATTAGGGAAAAGGATAACACAAGAAGCATGGACATTCAATTAGCAGGAATAGAATTTTGAACTTAAAATTGTAATTATTTTTGATTTAAATATTTAAAGCACAATAATGTGAATAATTAATCAATAAAAGAAAGAAACTAGAACTAACTTTGCTATTTCTTGAAGAGAAATAGGAATATGCGCAAGGGCATTATTAAATTTAGACATAACATTAACGATATGAATTGGGTTCTTATAAACTCTTTTAAGGGTATGATTTGAATTATTACTCAAATGTTATATATGTGAGGTATCATTTTATCATATATCTGCACGTGGCAACGTACCTAATAGTAACACAACAGCACTATGAGGTTTAATGAATATCGAACAGCTGACATTTGGATCTCACTTCCGTATGCACGCTCACATATCGTACTTATTGATAGGCATGGAATTTCCAAGTAGTGGTTGATTAAAAATTTGGTAATTGACCCTCTACATCATTTGACAGCGACAGTTTAGCAGATGCAAGTCGAAATTGGAGTGAATATATAAACAGTCAATGATACTCAGATGTTCAAAGATCTCATCATGCGAAAACGAATGGGCATTGCAACAAAATAAAAATTATTCACAAAAAACAAAACATTTAAAAATGTATGTTTAGATAACAAAGATATAACATAGCAAATTCATGCAATGGTAAGTATAAAATATGTAGAACACTATTTGTCCTCTACATATGTAGAATTTCTTGAGACTGTGATGTTCTACATTAATGAAAGACTTCCCAACAATCCTGAAGATGCGAGAACGAAGTAGGGCTCTTTCAAAACTCACCCATTTGTGGAAAGAATGGTTCCCGCCGGGAAAATTTAAGACAGACGCTTATTGAAATATTTTTTGTATTAGCCAACTGAGATCTCATTAAGGGCAAGAGCCACCTGTCTTTTTGCAGGGAATATGGAATAAAGTGATACGGGTGAGGGGTGAAAAACCAACACAAATACAACCACTCCCGAGGTGGGACCCTTGGGCCTGAGATCGCCACGGCACTACTGCCTTAGCGACCTGGATAGACCGAAAGAAATTTTAGGGAGCCTATCTATGTTTCTAAATCTTGAAAATTCAAAAATTGACTCCACTCACCCACTTTTACCTACGCCCCAGCGCATTCCACTTATCAGGTTCAGCGCCACGAAAACTTACTAAATTGTGTCACCAATGTCGTGCTAATAGCATCATATTCTTCCGAGAGCTTATAGTACCGCTTATAGTCTTACAGTCGGTTACCAATTCCTTTAATGCTTTTGGAAGCGTCATACCCTACAAATGTTTGGTAGCATATTCTTAGAAAATAAGTAATAGGTTTGTGGATTTTGATGACCTAAATCATTGCCAAAGATTATCAATAAAATGTTCTTAAAATATTTTAAAATTTCCTAAAAGCTTAGAAAAACAACGTAACGTTTTTGATCAAAACAAATTCCCATTATCAACTCGAGTTTTTGGATGTAGCGTCATAAGGACCTTATATTAGATACTCATAACGGCTGACATCATAATTTATGAGCGAAGAAATCGAATAGGGTACTCAGGAATCCTGTGTAGAACATTTATTTCACCTCGTAAACATTATTTGCATCAAGTACCATTAAAATGATATTAAAATCGGTGATATCAGCAAAAAATGCTTTGAAAGTTACGGAAAAAGGTACAAAATGACTTATCAGTCGAAATCACCGAAAAATGCAAAAACATTTCCCACAAAAATGATTCCTTTTGTGATAACATGAAACAAATGTCTCTACTAAAAGACTGATCTAAAGTGAAAAAAAGACATTTCATTAAAGTACGCCCCCAGTTAATCATATACACCACCCTTGTTTTTATCTTACTCCAGTTGCTCAAACTTCACGATAGAATAGCGGGGTTGCTATAGATCAATAGCTGATGTAACACGATTTTACAAAGGCATTTCTTTATGCTCCATTCTGTACGCCCTCTTCGCTGCATTCTACCCGGCCCGAAGAAGCCACTCCGCCCACGCCCTCCCCACCACCTCGGCGGGCAGCGCCTAGGAACCATGCTGCTCCTCAGCCGCGCATTCGCCACGTGTTCCATCAACAGAAATCGCGGGGTAAATTCGCATTTGCACGTTTTGGGGACGCGAAATCCCATGCCCATTTGCTTCGTGCAAAATTTCCGATCAATCGCCCCAGTGGTTCAAACGTTACAGCGTAACAAAGAAAGATACATTTTCTTATATTAAAATATATCTTTGAAAATTCACAAACAATTAACGAAATAATCTTTAAAGTTTTAATATAAATTAAATGATATATACTAATACAAATCAAATTAAAAAAGCGCAAATATATGGCTACGAGTGGCGAGGTCGGGGGCGAGGTCAGAGGCGTGGTCGGAGGCGAGGGCGAGGAAGAGGTTGAGTTCGAGGGCGGGGGCGAGAGCGGTGGCGAGGGTGGGGGCAAGAGTGAGGACAAGGGCGAGGGTAAGAGCAACGCAGAGGGCAAGAGTGGGAGCAGGCGTGGGGCAGGGGGTGAAGGCGGTGGGAACGGTGTGGAGGCGGGGTGGGGGCGGGGTGGGGGGCGGAGTGGAGCGGTGGCAGAGGTGGGGTAGGGCAGGGTGGGGCGAGCTGGATGCGGGGGTTTGTGGGTGGGGCGGGGGAAAGGCGGGGGCAAGAGTGACGGCTAGTGCGGGGGGCGGGGAAGTGCGGCACTGCGGGCTGGCAAGTGGCCGGTGGACGCGACGGAGTGACGCGAGGCGGCGCGACGGCGTGGTCGTCCCCGAGGGCCGTAGGTCAGGTCGCGGCAAAGGCGAAGGCGGCCAGCGGCCAGCGGCCAACGCTGGGCAGTACAGCATTCTGGAAGAATGGACCCAGCCGGGGAGGCGATCGGAGAGGTGGCGCCTGTCAGGATATACTGAGGAGTGTTTCGTGGGTAGGAGTTTTGGGAACGCATTAAGGGTACGTGGAGACTGTGAGGAATGGGCGAGGAGGAAGCGGTTAGCGGCGGAACCCGGAGTTGGTTAAAGATACAAGAAATTAAAATGGAGTGAAATTGAGAGAGGCGTGCGAGGGCATTACTGTGATTGCCGTGCGACTGAGTTGCCGCGTGACCATGCGGCACCGTTATCTTACGACCACGGAACATAATTAAAATCTACGATACTTAACGTGAGAGTATTTGTGGTTGATTGAAGAGTGTGCCACAAGGTTATTAGATTAGCGCTTTTTCCCTCTTCGTTTCACCGTTGCCCAAATTTTAGGCAATTAGTCGTTATTTTCATTAATTCATTGATCAGTCAACGAAAAGTGCAGATTGTTAGAGGAAATTGCCTTTCAG